GTTATACATTTTCACATGCACATTTTTGTTATTTATTTATTGTAAATGTGGTATGTTTGCCATAAAGAGGCATATGGATCGCTTTAGATTCTGTTTTTTTTTTTTTACATAACACATATGTTACATTCAATTGATTCACACAACCATCAGAGGTCAGTGGGGGCTCAGAACAAAGTGTCCTTCAAATATATTTGGACACAAATAAGACGTTTTTCTTTATAATGTAAACATTACGTAAAAAAGAGCCAAAATAGAGGATTTCAATGATTTAAAAATCACACTTATTGATAAAAATTATTCATAGTAAAAGACAACATGGGAAAAAGCTAAACACTATATCAACATTGCTACATGTTAGCCTAGAAATAGCAATTTATATAAATTTAAAATAGCCTAAATAGGACCAGAATTAACTAAGACTATAAAGATAGCTTTTAGCAAAAATAATGTTCAGAGACCAGAATTAACTAAGACTATAAAGATGCTTTTTTGCTTTTAGCAAAAATAATGTTCAGTTGAAGAGGTAAGGAAGGAGTTAGCCAAATGCTAACTGATGGCTAGAGACAAATAACAAAAGTTTATCAGCTATTTAAAAACAAATTGAAGTTGTACAGCATAGAAAAGTAGGCTAAGAAATACAGTAGTTTTAGTTAATACAGAAAAGTAGCTCAAAGACAAATAAAATCCATCATGAAGCACGATAACAACCAGACAGCTAGTCCAACAAGCGATAAAGTTAGCTAAGGAAGCTAGGTAATGTAAAGTAAAGCTAACACGGCTCAGTTAAAGCCAGACGACAGTAAAAACATGAAACCGTGGTAACTCGGGAAAAAGAACATCAGTTATTGCTGGGACTCAAACCGCTGACGTTCTTGCTTTAAGGCAAAAGCACTAAACACCATTCCATTGTTCGGCTCTCCTGCCCGTTCCCTTCAATAAACTGAAGCTATGATGTAATTTAGTTGAAAACAAGCGAATAACAGTGAATAGAGAATGAGGTTTATTAGAAGCCAGTTCCAAGCAGGGACTTTCCCACTGGTTTGGAGAGAAAATGAAAATCTGGAGTTTTAGTGGAGGAAATCCCACCTGTAAGTCAAATCAAGCAGGTCTGCATCACATCTTTAATGATCCATATGTTTCAATTTAACTGGGATATTTAGGTTGGCGCGGCAGCACATGCTGATAATCCCAGTGGTGTGAGACTGTTTATTAGAGCGCTAATCAAGAAGATTGGTCGGTGCAGGGAGGTTATTAGCAGACTTGACTCGTTGACTCGGGCACACGTGTTTAAAAGATTAGGCTGGGGGTTTGGTGTAATTACAAATACGGCCTGGATTGCTACCTAACAAATACCGAACACATATTTGTTTGGGGATTTGGAAATGCAGAAGATCGGCGTGTCATCCAGACGGCTAAATTATCCACTTCTCCCAGCTCTCTCTGTGGGCCTCTCTGTGGGCTTCTCTGTGGGCCTCTCTGTGGGCTACTGGAGTGTACAGTGGGTTTCATGGCTTCATCCTGACTCTGGTGAAACAGTCATTGAGATTCAGGTTTAAGAGAGGAAGTAAAATAGCAAACAATACAAAAGCTCAGGTATTATTATGTACTTTTATTAAGTTATTATGTAAAACTTCAAACTACTCTCATTTAAATGTTCAAAATATTTTTTGCGGGGTGTTGTTGCCACCTAGTGGTACACTTATGTGCTATATTCCATTGGAACCCCCTGACGACCCCCGCCCCACTATTTGAGAAGCACTGGGATAGAGAGAGGATGTTCAATAAATAATAATATAAAAGCATGTTGTCAAAATTAACTCCCTATTTACTCAAGGCATTCAGACATCGCTAAAAGTTTAGCAATAACTGAATCTTGGTGGTTCACAAAAAAGTTATCTTTAATTTTTAAAATATATAAAGTAGCAGAGGAAGCGAACAATGTTATATTAAAAACTGCTAAGCGTAAGCACAGATAATGACGTCCAAGCTAAACAAGATTTTGAAAAGTGGGTCAAGAAGATGTCCCTAAAAAAAACAACCAAAAGGTAGTCAAAAAACTACGGTAGTCAAAAAAAGAAAGGTAGGTTAAAACAGCTGGCTTGGAGTTAGCTCAGAAAGAGCTAAATGTTATTCACGCTGACGTCTAAAACAAAGACCACAGAAAGCTAAAAACATGTCCAATATTTCTGTACAAATGAGAGGACATATTTCTTAGGGATTTGGAAACGCAGCAGCTTGGCGTTTCTTCACGTCTCGTCCAGACTCTGAAACGATCCCGTTGTCTCCAGGCCTCTCAGAGCTACTGACAGTTGAGTGTGAAGGCTGGACCGTGGCGCTCAGATCTGACACAAAAACATACGCGGTTCCAGGAGTCTAACATTTCCCAGTGCACAACAAAATTAACTATGTGTCAGACGCTGCTCCGAAAAACAGGTTTTAGTGCTGCAGCCCACAAATGTAAAAACGTGTTTATGTTCTGTCAACTGCTTCTTTTATAAAACTCCATAATAATAAGAACAAAGTTGATAACTTGGGAGAAAGAAAAAAACATTCCAACAACCCGAGAGAATGTGAGAATATTCAAAACAAACACCACTGTAGCTTTGGTACGGTCAAGGGTTAGGGCTACATTGAAAAAAAAAAGAGTAAAAAATCAAAACAATTGTAAAACAGTTGTAAGTTAGAAAAATAAAGTTTAAAACTTATGGGAATAAAGTGGTCAACTTTCTAAATTTTGTTTTAATATCATGGAATTAAAGGGCAGCCAAATGAAATAAAATTGATTTAAATTTGTTGGCAGTGGACAGCAAAAATAGTTTCCGAAAAGTAGCTATAACACACTAAAAGGCAGGGGAAACTGTAGCAGAAAAGCTAAAGCTAGCAGAGTAAGGAAAGAATAGAGGAAATTGGAAATATCTAAAAATATAAATAAAATATTAAAGTTAACCAAAAGTAAGAAATAAATAGAATATTTTCTGAATGTCAACCATTTCAAACATGCCCAAATGCCAGGATTGGCCCCCGACCCAGACATTTAGAAACTGTGCTTTCAGTTTTGCTCCATTTCCAGTCAATTTTCTGTAGTGAATAACACAGACCTCTGCATATTCTCAACACTCACTCAACATGTAAATGGACTCAAACCACACGCAAATCTGCCGCTGCCATTCCTCCCAAATGGAAAGTCATCATAAATATCCACGATTGGATTCATCCAATAAAGAGTCATCTATCATCCGTGTGGCTGTTGTGGTTTCTCACATACAGCACATACATAATGAAACAGTCTGTGATTGGGTTCGGGGAGGGGGGGGGCATTTGTCACCTGTGGGGCATTAACGTTGGTCTGTCAGGGTTTGGGTGAGACCCGCCTCCCACATCGACTAATGACTCTGACTTCAGGACAGCCATGTCAAATCCTGAACAGAGCTGACGATGTGAAAAGCATGTAATAAGGTCGTGAGAATGATGTGTCTGTGAGAAACCATGACAATCGGCACAAAGGGGGGCGGCTGCTGCTGCTGCCACGGACTTTGATGGGATTAATGAGGACACGCATGGATAAAGAGTGTGAAATGCAGACCAGACTGGAACTGCTGATGGGCTAAAACACAGATTTCAAAACCCAAACGCCATTAACTTTATCAACAGTCACTTTCTGCCGGCTCATGCCAACCTCAAGCTAATCATTAGCTGTTTTTTGTTTGGGGGGGGGATTACTTTAAGCAATTTGTAATCTATGTTGTAGACGTTGTACTGCTACAAAAAACTTGTAGAGTTGCTGTTTTTGCAAAATGAAAAAAAACCCCACTTTATTTGTACTTTAATTCTGCCTCCAGGTCTATTTGGGCTTAACGTTAGCTAGACTTGGAGACATGTTTTAACTAAGGTTTTAAGAACTCTTTCAGTCCTTAAGAAGAATAACAACAAAAATGAAGATGTAGAAGAAGAGGAAGAAGAAAAACATCGTCTACAGTTGAAAGTTAATTTTCAACCCTTTTGAAAAGTTTTTTTTCTAACTTGTTCTTATTTTGTTATACCAGGCTAACGAAACTTAGCTCAAGGTTTGTCGAGCTTTTCTCCAAATATGTACAAGCCCTTTTACATTTTTCTATAATTTTGACTCTTTATTTCCAGCTTTTAGATAATTCTAAGTTTGTGTTGACTAGTTTTACACCCATCCCTTGTTCCCCGCGAGCTGATTCGTTGTCAGATAAGAATAGTTTTTAGATAGTTTAGCTCTACTTTTAGCTTCTCTCTCAGCTCTTTTTTACATTTGCAAAAAAATCCGATTAAAATATTATATATTTCTCGTACATTTTGCTCATCATATTTTGTCTACATCTTCTTCTTTTATTAGTAAAATGTAATTTCATTATTGCAATATTTGTTTTAGCAAATATTGGCCTATAATCTGGTACAAACAGTAATTACAGTACAATATTGGCCTATAATCTGGTACAAACAGCAATTACAGTACATTACACTTACACATAAAACACAGCAGCTTTGTTTTAATTCAACACATGAGGAACCTCAGTGTGCTTTACATCAAAGAAAACAGAGTAAGTTAGCATCTTTTTTGTGTTGTAAAACTTTGAGCTCTAACAATTTTCCAGAGTTCCTGTAACCGGAGGGCAGATATTCAGAACCGCCAGTTCGAAGAAACTGTAAAGACATATTTTGGTTTATCTCAACCCTTTGTTCGCTGAATCAAGTGCAACACTCAGGGCTGGGTTACAGACTCATCCTGCCAAGAGAATGATACACCCATCAGGCAGTGGATGGGTGTAGGAATGGGGGCAGCTGTTGCATTTGTTCTGCAGCCATAAAAACTGTGGTGTGGGGGTTTGGGGGGGGGGGCAAACACATCGTTCTGGGAGCTCGGAATACCTCAGTAATGCCCCAATCAAGGCCTCCCATGTTGCACTTCATCTCTTTCCTCATCGCCTCATTTTCAAGGGTAAACATTTTTAACAGCACGTGAATACTTCATCACTGTATTTTGTGTCATTTTGTACTCCTAGCACACACTCGTTTTTCTCCCCTGTGCTAAAGAGCCGAGGTGTAGTGTCGGTGCTGGTGGAGTCCTGTGGAATCTCGCTGATTTAATAAAAAAAAAAAACCCACACTTTTTAATTCTGGATAATCCCTCAACCCTGCAGCCGCTGCACTTGAGATTCATCCAGCCATGAAATTAAGATCAGATACTGCACAAAGAGGGCCTCTCCAAACAGCCGCACGATGATAAGGCGCAACAACACCAGCGGAGGCGCACAAACAAAGCTGGTGTTGGCTACGGCGTGTGCTCAGCAGACCTGTGCAGAGTCGCACATGTGAGCTAACATGGCGTGCCAAGATAAGGAGAAGTCAAACAATAAGCTGCCACGTCAATACGCGCGCGCGCGCGCGCACACACATGTGCGGTTCTCATGCATAAACATCCTCCCGACATCACACTGTACATCACACGGACAAACAACCGCCGAGGCCATGCATCATTGTTCTCCTGCGCTGTTGAAACGCCGTGTAAATGTGACCCAACATCTGTTGTACAGTGTGACCAGATGTGGGCGTCTGTGGGGGGATGGTCCGCGGAGAGAGCAGTCAGATGGAGGTGAGGCAGGACATTATCACTA